ATCTTCACCTGTCATAAATGCTCCATAAATGCTGTTCAGAGGGAATTAATTGGAACTAAAAATGATGAGAGAAATGTCACCAAATGTCCAGGGTGCTCACTTCGTCACCCAATGGTGAGTTTTGATTCCTATCAGATCCTTCTTTGGAGTTCTTTTCCTGGGATTCTGCATAAGGGAGGCTTTGCAGTCCTAAACATGACTAATGTGGAAATCTTCAGAATTGCAGAGCTGCTACCGCAGTAGATTCCTCTCTTAGCACAGTTAACAGTGTCTAAAATGGTTACGAGCTTTGAGTTCCAACAGACTGAAATGTACCAGTTGAACCACTGAGCCAAGGATGAAGACAGCGTCCATTTGAAATCTCAGTGAGCACTTCTCACTGAGGTAGCTCAGCAAGGGACTGGGCTAGCTACATCCGGTGATTGAACCGGAGTTTTCCATTTATCCACAGAACGACTACAGTGCAGGCCTGCTCACAGTACCCTGCCAGCGTGTTTACACCCTGACCTGGAGGGACCAGCTAAGGGTGAGAACGTGATTTGCTCCCCATGCCCATCCCATGTTTGTCTGGTTAGCTGAGACTGTCCATGCATGCTGTGGACAGTCCTGGGGTTTGGGGATCTCATGGGGAACCCTCCATGCTTGGAGGCAAATCCAAATTGACTGGTATCGCATCCATCCCACACTCCCAACTCCAATCCACTGCAGTATGAATCTACAAAGAGAAGCCACTAGGCACATTTGGGCCCTAACCCATGTCCACTGGCAACTCATCCACCCAACATTGTATTAAACTCCAAGACACAGAAAGAGAATACTACATGCTTTGGACTGATCCTCATCTAGTGAATCACTGGTCAAAGTAAATCTGTACTGTAAATAAATATATGAATATTTTAATGCCGTTACTTGGGACTGTGAACTCAAACCTGTCTTTTTAGAGTTAGATTGTCTTAGAGGTAAATCCGAGAGAAGACAGTTGTGGCTGTTTGTCTTATTTTTTTTTCAGAGATGTCCAAATGGGAGTGTTTTTCTAGATTTCACAATTTTTTGACATGGGTTCTTAGGCAAATTTGGCTGCCCCCTTCTGATCTCTGCTGAGAAAATAAAATGATAGGAAAATAATCTAAACATTTAAAAAGCCATTAACTCTAAGTTTGAAATGTAGTGTTTTACTATTGGTTTACAATGTTGACTACTATTTGGCAAATAAATTTTAGAAGGGTCCCAATTCCTACTGTCTCTACTGCTAGACAGACAAGGAACTTCATCAACTCCTTGCTGTATTTGCTCATTTCTAGATTAAGCTCAGGAACAAGGAGAGTAGTTAACAGTAGCTAAGTGCAATGCCTGCTGCATGATGAACTCTATAATCTTTTGCTCTTGTTACAGGCCAAGGGGTTGTGTCACATATTTCTCAAGCTGCTTGCCATGTGTACCTTCCATGGATGGGGTACACAGGGGAGGGGGATGTGGGGCTGCATAAGGAAGGTATCATCTCTCATTGTCTGGCCCTATGTACCTGGCTGTCATCCTGGGTATCCTGAGGAGGCTCATGGCCTGTGTCTACTGTGAGACACCTCATCCACCTCTATCTCCAGGCATTAGCTCCAGCCACCTCCCACAACTTCTACCCTGATTGGAGCCCCACCTGTGGTCACTTTAGTGGCTTAACTTTGGAGACCAAACCAGAAGAGCGAGAAAGTAGGGTTGGCCTCCTCTGTCACATCAGCATGTTCTGAATCACAATCAGACTGCCTTCAGTTGTCTGAATCCTGCAGATGGAGGAGAAGGGGAGTCCAGGAGGCAGCTGGGTTAGGGACACTTACCCTCCTTCTCCCCAGCTGAGGCCTCAGCCACCCCATGGTCAGCACTACCATATTCACTTCCAGTCCAGCAAACACTAGTTTGGGTCACCATCTGTGCTTCCCTCCTGATTTGGCTCTTAGCACACTCTCCTCCCACTGTCATATCTATGGATTGAGAGAAAGACAGAAGGTTCTCAAGCACGCTTATGCTCGTGCTCACCTGTTCCACTTCTTTAAACACAATCTGCTGGCCATAGCCCAGGGTTCCCTTTTCAGTAGGCAAAACTGGCTTCCTGGGCTGCCACCTCACACTCTGAAGGGGACTGGTATTTGTTTTAATGATCTGTTATTGCCATTGTTAAATTCCTCGTTATTTTTACCATGGTCCTCCACATGCTTCTTTTGCACTGGGCTCCACAATTAATGTAGCCATCTCTGCCAATAGGTGCAAAATGGAGCTTGAGGATTTACATTTCCAGCAAGTTCTCACGTGTTGTGCCGCCATGGTCACCACACCTCATTTCATAATCACTAAATGAAATTTTGCAAATTCGACCCAAAGAAAAGAGGAGAGGAGACAGTGGATCTTTACGCCCTTCTGCTCTTGCCCTTCTACTTGGTCAGATCCAATAAGAGCTATGGAAATGGAGGGGGACATTGGTGTAACAACTTCAGTTAATTTTGTTATTATTCTTAGTTCTCTTCTTTTTATTTTCCCCAAACCCAAATGCTAAAGGCATATTATATTGCCTTTTCTGCAACACGTCCCCCAACAACCAACGTAAGTATGATTTTCCTGTCCATACTGAGTTCAAAAATAATTTTCTGAAGCAGCTTGAAAAGGTGTCTGATGTGGAACAATATCACAGTAAGTGACTTGAGAGGCAGAGTGAGGGAAAACAATGGAAGAAGTGATAAGAGAAGTTGAGTTTGCAACGCAAAACACATGACCTTCCACATGTCAGCTCAAATGGGACTCCATTTCCTCTGAGCCTTGTAGCAGTCATTGCAGACAGGAGTACATTATTTATTGCATGACTCATGGTTCCATAGGGTAAAAATAACTTACTCCCTCTGTAGAAACCCAAATGTCTGTAAGTAGGGAGACTTAAGAGAAATGTCTTCCATGGGATATCTTTATGCACATATTTCCTCACTGAATCTGCTATTTGCAACATTGTGTTGACTGCATTCTCTTCTATATATTTGGTAAAAGATGAGGAAGACATGAGACAGAGTTATTGTGGTCTCTGTGAGCTAAAATATGACCTTTCCAAGACTTTCCTCCCAATATGAGGAGCCAAAAACAAAACAAAGTACTCCCAACCGTGACAGTTGTTTTGTTTTGGCTCACGAATTGACTTGACTTTCCAAAATATCCCGTAGAGTACCATAGAGTAAGGCTTTCTTTCTGTACTCACTATTACTGATATAAAATCATGACTTATTATTACTGAATAGACATAAGACTATTAATGACTAGAAAAGTGTCATTCGAGCTGGGAAAACAAATGCAATTAGCCACTAATATGATTGCTAGCCCTGGTCAGAACATGGACTGAGCTTTGTGTTAGTTCAACACATTCTATTTTTTCTCATTTTCATAAGGAACTTTCCTCAAGCAGAGTCATACTTCATAACAATAAACAAGTGACCAATCTGTTTTGTTTTATGTTCCCTCAGTTAGAATTAGGGAGGGTTTTTTTCCCCTTTAATTAGATATGGTGGTTAAATAGCTTTCTCCCACTTTCCAGCAGATATAGTTAAGTTCCTTTGATTTTTCTCTTCAAATTCATTGTAGGCCCAAAGCTCCAGAAAATCATCCTCGTGGCTCCTGCCCATAAGATTGTCTGATATCAGTTCAAAGAGAAGGCAAGGAAAGGACTTATTTATTCCATGTGGATAGGAAATGTCCTCAGTAAAAGCTCATTTCACTGAGCTGCCTCAGTGACAGCCTATCACAAAGGCTAGGGTGTTTTCCCCTGAGTGCTCACCTTTGCTGGAAACCTGAGAGGACATGAGGGCCCCTGTGAGCTCACTTCCTCCATTTTGCATGCACAAACCCATTTGGTTAGGAAAGGATTGCTCGTGTTTACCTTCTTTAAGACCACAAAAGATTTGTTTTGAAAAATTCGGCCAAAGAAAAGCAAAGACTAGTAAAGAGAAGCAAAGTAGGGTGGGGTAGGGAACTGAAGAAAGTTCTGGAACTTTTTAATCAATATGTGATCATTTCCCTTTAAGATGTCAGGGTCACTATTTTGAGGAAGGTAGAAAATAAAGATGTTTCCAGGTAAGACTTTGCCCAGTCCTCATTCCATTTACATTTTTCACTGTTCTTTCTGTTGCTGTGACAATTCACTCACATTTGTATAAGCTAATGACATGCTAATTATGTCATATATCAATTTGTAAAAGCACTGGTAGCTTGAAGAATCATGTGAAGTGTATTTAAATATAGTGGAGTCTTAAAGATGGTCATATATTTATCTTTTATACATGAAACACTTGTCATTAGTAGCATTGCCTTCTTCACAGAGGGATGAATTTACTTATATTAAGTATTTTAAGAGACAAGAAAAGTCGTCCATAAAAACCACAATGAACTTCCAGCAACATGTCAACCATAGTTTTATCTGAATTATTTTCAATTCAGGATACTGAAGAAAGCAAAAAGCATTATCTACCAATTTTTCCTTGCTTAATACATAGTAGCCACTTTTAATTGAGGTCAGGCACCACTCCACTCCATGAGCTACTTCAGGGATGAACGTTGCCAAACGCAGGGATCCATCTCTGTCCATCTCCATCCTTTGCCCAGGCTGATGTTTCCTGCTACATCTGTTGAGTTTTTACTGCTCCCTGCTGGCCGCCCATAGCAAATACAGGGATCCATCTCTGTTCATCTCCGTCCTTTGCCCTGGCTGACGTTTGTTCTATTTGTTAGGTTTTACTGCCCTCTGGTGGCCGAACATTGGCAAATACTGTGCAGTGGAAAGGCATCTGCGTTCATTTGTTGTGTTTTGCTGCCATCTGCTGGTCATTATGTGGAAATGCATTCACCTTATTGATTCAGAAGTCTTTCTTTGAGCCCCCATGTCCGTGGTTCTCCTGTCATCTGAATAGTGGTTGTATTGTGATCAGGTCACTCATTGTTAACACTCTCACACGCTTGTAATTGTCTTGTTGTGCCAGAAACCCTGACATGCTGCCGTCGGAAGTTTCCTTTTCCATGGGAGGGAGGCATTCATCTACAGACTCCAACAAGGCCTCCAGTGGAGACATCTCCCCTTATGACAACAACTCCCCCGTGCTGTCTGAGCGCTCCCTGCTGGCTATGCAAGAGGACAGGGCCCCGGGGGGCTCGGAGAAGCTTTATAAAGTGCCAGAGCAGTATATGCTGGTGGGCCATTTGCCGTCGCCAAAGTCAAAGTCAAGGGAAAGTTCTCCTGGACCAAGGCTTGGAAAAGGTAACTGGAGCCTGGTGGGTGCTGGGCAAACCAAATGTCTCTCCTTTTGTCACAGTGAGTGACAATGGTGGCAGTGAGTGCATGCTCAGAGCAGCTACTTGCATTCCCAATTGATCCCTTTTCCCTCCAACATCAAAAGAACTTTATGTGTTCTGACTGGTGGGTTTGGGTTGCATATGCTTATCCAAGATGTCACTCAATTACCACTGTCACTTTTATAAAGAGAACAAGCTAAGCCTACCACATCACAAGACAGCATGCCAGAAGCAAATAGTGTCAGCATCCAATGACATGAGCACTCAACTCAGAGTCAGAAATCTGCTCTGCCACTTCCAACTTGTCAGATCTCAAATGAACAATTGAGCATGGCAGAGGTCCGTGTCCACCTGCTATGGAGACTAAGAATGATAACAGTGTCCGACTCATTGGGCTTAATTAGCTAATCATGTAAATGTCCTTCCTGTGGCACTGAGCATGGTGTAAACTCTGGCTGATACGTGCAGTGTAGACTAGTGTGCACTTCTCCCCTCCTCTTCTGCTGGGTGCCTCATCTGTCACATGACCTCCAGAGGCTCTCCTAGGAATGACATGGGGACAGTACCCAGTAGACCATTCCTTTTCTAAGTCATAATTATTATCCCAACACAAGACTGTAGGGAGGAGGAAATGAGATGGTAAAAACAAAAGCCTAATATATCATCTTACTCCACAGCTATTTGTGCCAAAGCTTTGGGGGATTTATGAAGGAACACGTGCCCAAACAGATTGATTTTGATGCCAATGGCAGAGCTGTCCCTGAGGGGAGCTCAGAAATGGCTACTGTTATTCCTGAGCCTCTTGTTAATGTGGGTAAAGCCTGTAAGGCTGTTGACAGCTGTCCCCTTGTATGACTTCCCTACTACTCTGTCACAACTCACAACAAACTTGGTGGCTTAAAGCAACACACCTTACAGCTTTAGAGGTCAGATAGCACATGGATCCACAGGGCTGTCTTCCCTTCTAGCTTCTAGAGGCTTCTGCATTCTTTGTCTCTTCTCTCCTTCTCTGTGTTGAACACCAGCAACACACCAGCATCCTCTTCCCTGCCTTCCTCTTATAGGGACCCGTGTGATTATATTGGGCCCACCCAGCTCAAACAGGATAATCACCCCATGTCAAGAACCATAATTCAACTTCCTCCCCAAAGTCGTTTTGAATATACTATTACTTCTTGACTGGGTGCCAGTGGTTCACACCTGTAACCCTAGCTACTTAGGAGGCTGAGATCAGGCGGGTCAAGGTTGGAAGTTAGCTCAGACGTATCGTTTGTGACACCCCATCTCCAAAATGACCAGAGCAAAAAGGACTGGTGGTGTTACTCAAATGGTAGGGCACCTGCTTTGCAAGGGTGGAGCCCTGAGTTCAAACCCCAGTCCCACCATCTGTATAATCTGTTTATAAATTAGGGGATTAGGACCCAGACATATTTGGGAGTCCTTATTCTGTTGGACACAACCATGATACAGAAAGAGATTTTTCTGTATGTCTCCAATGAAATAATCTTCCTGAAATGCAAGTGTGAATTTTGTTCTGTTTTGTAGCCAAAAGAACATTGAACACAGTAGTTTGCACCAAAGAGGTGTTATATGTGTTTATTGACTCTCCCTTAATATTTCAATTTTTGTTTATGCTCTTTTTCCTAGATATGTCAGAGGAGCCTTTCAATATCTGGGGAACTTGGCATTCAACATTAAAAAGTGGATCCAAAGACCCAGGAATGACAGGTGGAGTGCTATTTTTAAACTTCATTGCATTTCCTGTTAAAATTAATTTTAATTATTGTGTTATCATCTTCTTACATGCTTTATTGAATTTTTTTTTGGAAAATGCTGAGCTGGGCTTATGGCTCAAGCCTGTATTTCCAGCTATGGAGGAGGCAAAGGTAGGAGGATTGTGGCTTGGGGCACTTCTGGGCAAAAATGTGAGACTGTATCTGAAAAACACTAAAGTAAAACGGGCTGGTGGAGAGGCTGAAGAGGTAGATCGCCTGCCTAGCAAGCACACTGGGGGCCCTGAGTCCAAACCCTAGTGCTGCCAAAAAGAAATAAAGAAAACAAAAAGCTGAAAAGGGACGGGGGGCGGGGAACCTATCCTTACGCTCTCCACCCAAATATGCCAGTAGTGGCCTGTATTTATTACATTTCCTTTCATGACAAGTAAGTTTGTGACAAGGCTGTTGAATGGAGTCTGGCGTATGTTCTGGGAGCGCCACGTAAATTGTGCCAGTCATCCAAAAGATTCTGTCATTCCTTTTGGTTGGAAGAATTTTTTAAGGTAGCAACAGCTAAGAAAACGCTGTGCTTTTTAGATTATAGAAATGGGTGAGGGGAGGAAAGAACAGGACTTCAATCCACAATGGCTGTTCCACAAACTAATTCCAGCCCTTGCCTCTCTCTGCTTCCCAGGTTCCTATGGTGACATTTTTGAAAGCAGCTCCCTCCGACCGGGGCCCTGTTCCCTCTCTCAAGGCAACCTGACCCTGAATTGGCCTCGGTGGCAGGGGAGCCCCGCGGAGCTGGACAGCGGCACTCAGGTCATTCGGAGGACTCAGACGGCGGCCACCGTGGCGCATAGCGGTGTCCACCCTCCCGCGTCGCGCGTCTGCAGCACTTCCGCCACCCAGGGCGGAGGCTGCGCAGGCCGGCGGCCGGCGGCCAGGTCCGAGCCGCACTTGACCTTGAGCAGCGCGGAAGACCCGATCGAGGGCGAGCTGGACGCCGCGTGGCTGCGGAGCCGTTCCCAGCCTTCCTACCGGAGACCTCGGGAGAGTGGCAGGGATGACAGGAGGCCCCCTCCTCCTTACCCGGGGCCGGGGAAGTCCCCAGGGTCATCGACCCAGCCGCCCGGGGAGCCTCCCTTGTGGAGGCCGCAGAGGCCGCAAGAAGGATCAGGAACAGCCTTGGAAGAGGAAGGCCAGCCGGCCGCGCGGGAGCATCAGGCCCCGAAGACAAAACTGAGCAGCGCCTACTCCCTCCCTGCCCGCGAGCACAACAGTCCGAACTTGGGGGACGCCAGCTGGCTCGAC